TAATGTTGTAATTTTATTTGAAATTTGATATATAAATTTAAATAAAAGGTAAATTACACTAGTCTCCTTTGAGGTTTGAAAAAAATATAATCAGTTCCACATTTTTTACATAATTACATTGACGTTTCTTTTACAAGGGCTAAAGCCATCGAAACTAATGTAGACGATGGATAAATATTGAAATAAATAAAGATAAATACACATTTTTTAATAGACAACGATGACATGTCATTTTCATACTCTCTCCGTCCCAAAATAATAGTCCCTTTTGGAGAATCCAACTTTTTTTTTTATTGTACAATTATTACATTTTAAAAATATTAATATTTCAAAATTACCCTTTGATAGTACATTTTTTTGGAATATCAGTTGTCATAATTGTACTTTTTATGTTATTAATGAGTTTAGAAAAAGGGCAAAATAGTAAATTCATATTATTTTATTCCTTGATTTTTTAAAAGGGATTAATATTTTGGGATAATGAACAATGGAATAAGGGACTAATATTTTGGAACGGAATGGAGGGAGTACAACTAATGAATTTATGATGAAAAAAGCCTAACTCTTTTGTAATTAAAATTACTAGATTCGTACAACTATATCAAAAGTGTGAGACTAATTTCATCTTTTCTAAATTTAAAAAAAGCCAAGTGTAATTTATCCATTAAAAATATTTATGTACGGAGACAAATTAAAATGTGAAAATAGAAGTCCTCACTTATGCGTTATGCGTTAAGTTGTAAGAAAAAATTCTATGGGCCCCATCCTATCCTATTTATTTGAAAATTTATTGATGAAATTTCAATTCAATTCAATGTACGCTTCATTTGTTTGGGTGAAAATATTTTGTATGATTTTTTTTTTCTTTCTATGTTTGGTGGTGGTAAGAAGGTGAAGAGGGAGGTTGTGGTGGTGAGGTGGTGGCATCAGTAATGATGATGATGATGATGATGACGATGACGACGATGATGGAGGTGAGATTAGCGATGGTAGTGTAGTGACATTAGTAAGAATTTAATTTAGAAAATGTTTTATGACTTTTAAAGGTAAAAAACATTTTTTGCTCAAATAAATTTGTTTCCGTTGACGATGAAATTTGTTTTCATTAACTTTCATTTTTAATACCAGATGCTAAAAAGTACAAATATATATATTGTCCAAACAAACGGAAAAAAAAAAATTCTAATTTTTTTCATCAATTTGTAATAATTTTGTAAACATACTTCCCCTAAATCATTCCTAACCCCTACTGCATATAAAATAAGGCTGTGCAAAATATCACCCAATCTGTGCCGATCCATCCACTAAATGCGGGTTAGTTTTGAACTGCAATTTGAAATTTATAATTCACCTTCGAAATCGCTTTGCTCCACTATAATTAATACATACATATATATATATATATATATATACCTCTAATGAAATATGAGTAATGCTATAAACCCACAAATTCACCCACAATGATGTGACAAGGAAATTGGGCCCTCAATTATTGGAAGTGTAACAAATCAAAAATTGACACCTATCCTAATATATCATTGTGGGTAGAATTTTTGAGTTTGGATCCTCTGCCAAGGTTCCTACACCCAAAACGACATCGTTTTGGGTGTTGAAAAAAAATCAATCCAGACGAGAAACTGAGACTGAGAAGAAGAAAATCAGAAGAAGAAGAGGAGAAGGTACCACCGGCACCACTCTTCGGTGACCCCCACAGCCCGACCCACTGCAACCACCACTCTCTGGCGATTTTCCTTAATGTTCTTGTTCTTCGTTCTCAACTCTGCTTCATCTTCCGCGATTAAAAGAGTGATAACATTTGTGGAAAAATAATAAAGCTTAATCTGAATCCTTTTTCTTATTTCACAGTAGATTTTTCCTTAATGTTCTTGTTCTTCGTTCTCAACTCTGCTTCATCTGAAGCAGAGTCTTTCTCGATTAAAAGAGTGATAACATTTGTGGAAAAACAATAAAATCCGAATCCTTTTTCTTATTTCACAGTAGATAGGAAAGCCAATGCCTAAACAAATTATAAGTAGCTGTTTGTCAAGGTGCAATCTTCTAAAAAAACTCTCTATATCCACATCACTATTCTTTTACTGTTTCACATGACAACAAATAAGTGAAAGTAGAAAAATCAAACCAAACACTCACCCAAACCAGTCCCAACAATTAGACCTCTCAATGCAAATCAAAAGCTAAGATTAGACCACACGTCTTCTTCTTCAACATCACCTGTGGCGGCAGCAGCTAGGGTTTGTAGTGGCGAAGAGGAGGAATCAAGAAGGGAGTCTCACTGCAATGGAGGCTGGAGGGCGATGGCACGGGGAGGAGATGGGTTGGGGAAGATCGGCTTGACCAATGATAGTGGCTGGCGGTTGGTGATGAGATCAAGATCACGAGAGAGAGAGAGAGAGAGAAGGGGGCGGTGGTGGTGCCGGGCGTCGATTGTGGAGGTGGTGGCAGCCGCATTGGCGAGGTCGCTAGAGAAGCTTGCGTCGATGAGTTTGCTAGTTTTCAGAGAGAGAAAGGAGAAGACGAAGAAAGAAGAAGAGGAAGAGAAAGAGAAAGGAAGTGGGAACGGGGAGGTGGGTTGCGACAGAGAGGTGGCGCCGGTGGGTGGAGGGAGGGGGTGGAAAGTGTTTGAGATAGTAGTCAGCAGCGGTCGATGCTAGAGAGAGATTGTCGGTGAGCTTATTGATTTGTTAAAGATTTTGTGTGTTTTTTTTTAATTTTTTTACCCAAAACGATGTCATCGTTTTGGGGGCACTATAGGAATCACGACAGGGAACTATGGTAGAAGATCTGGACTCATAATTGTCGAATTTTTTTGGGTCTCAAATACTTTTCATGAAATATAATAAAGAAAAATCAACGTGAGAGATTTAATATGTGAAATTTATTATAAATTAATGCTATTGAAAATAAGTTATAATAAAATCGTCGCTAAAAATAATTTTTATAATGATTTTTTATATAAGCCGCTAAAAATAGCAGTTAGTGACATTTTCCTGTGACGAATTTTTCAAACTATCGCTGAAGGTTAAAAATTTATGACTTTTTTTGTAATAATTTTTTTTAAACCATAGCTAAAACTTATAATTAACGATATTTTTTGTGGCAAAATTTTTAAACTGTTGCTAAAATTTAAAAATTAGTGACTTTTTTGTAATGATTTTTTAAAACTATCGCTAAAAATTATAATTAACGATATTTTTGTGACAAAATTTTTAAACTGTCGCTGAAAATTAACAAATAATGATTTTTTTAATAGTATTTGATGAAAAAGTTATTAATTATTATAAAACCTATTAGACAATAAGTCCACTTCTTATGACTTATACGTAAGTCTTCCTTATATATATATAAATATTATTCAAATTAGTGTTATATATTATGTAAATACTTAATAATTATTTAAAATTATTCTTCAAATAACTAGCAAATTGGAACCGTCCAAATTGATTTGATTATTTATTAATCCGATATTTGTGATTTAATTTATAATTTTATCCTCAAATAGTAACAAATTGCACGCACACCTCTAGTACAAAGACACGTTCTTAAAGGCGCGTGACTCATCATAGTTAACCAAGTCCGACATCGACACGACGACACCACACTTCAATTCAATCCAGTTTCCGGGAACTTATACATATACTGTTACACATATATATTTTTTGGCCGTGCTACGTAGCCCGAATGCACAGAGGCTCGACTGCCCCGAAAATTCAAATGACGTCGTTTGAATTTTTTTTTTTTTTCCCTTTTCTTCTTCCTTCCCCCTCTCTGCTATGTTGCTCTGGAGCTCACTCAAAACTCAACAAACAAACAAACTCAAAAAAAAAATCAAAAATCAAACCCACAGCAACAGCAACAGACAAACCCAAATCAAAAATCAAAACTCAAAAAAATCTCACAAATCACCAAATCTACACAAATCAAAAAAATAAAATAAAAATAAAAAATGAGGGGAAGAGAGAAGAACAGAGAAAGAAGGAGAGGAGGAAGAAGGAGGAGCTCTCCATCGCCCATCGCCATTGCTCTGTGTGTATACACAGATCTGTGTATACACACACACACAGATCTCTCGTCGCCATCACGCCGTTGCCGCCGTTGCTCTCTGTCGCCCATCACCATTCGCAAATCTCTCGTCGCCATCACGCCGTTGCTCTTCTCTCTTCCTCCTCTCTCTTTCTCCCTCTTCTCTCTCTCTTCTCCCTTCTTCCTTCTCCTGTCTCCCTTCTCTCTTTTCTCTGGTCGCTGTTTAAGGAGAGGACAAAAAAAAGAAAGAAAACGACGTCGTTTTCAATTTCGAGGCAACCGAGCCATCATCTTTTCAAGCCTTCAAGCTTTATTCTATATTTTTTTCGATACAATATACCGTGAGTGTATGGAAAGTTATTATTTTAGTAAGTTATTTTAATTTTTAGTTATTTTAGTAGATTAAAATTTTTGTATTTGAAAAGATAGTTAGATTTTTTTATAGTTAGATTTTTTTATAGTTAGATGTGATATTTGTGAGAGAAAAAGTGAAATAATTATAAATTTGATGTGATATTTTATCTTATTAATTATTTTAATCTATCTTATCATTTTGTGAATTTTAATCTAACAAACTCAAAACATCTCCTACCCAACAGACTGTACTGCCCAACTTGTACAGCCTACTTCACTAACTTCTCCTACACACTCATTTAAACAATTTTTTAATACACATTTTTTTTTTATAAAATGTCAAAAAATTAATCCAAACATTCATATTTTTTTTCTTAAATTTTTAATTCAAAAAGATAAAAAATACACTTATTTAGAATACCCCAAACAACTCCTTAAAAAGAGAAAAAAATATAAATAAAATATATTTATATTTCATTTAATTTTACATATTTTTTTCTTTTCCCTTTTCAAATTTCGCTCCAAATCTCCTAATCAAACACACGTAAATATATATAGTAATATAATTTATGATTACAGAGGGGGAGGGAGGGAGTTTTTAGAACCTGGAGAGAGAGGGCATCCATATCAGCTCGGAGGGCAAAGAAGGGTCGAGCCCCGGACCCAATCGAAGCCACGACCCCAGTCTTGGCGACCGGCCAAGCATATTCGACGGCGAGAGAGTCGAGCTCGGATCGAATGAGTTGACTCGTCTTGTGCTCCTCAAACCCGAGTTCAGGGTACTGATGGATTCTCCTTCGGACCCCTCTGACCCAGTCGAAGAACTCGGGCTTTCTAGCCGATTCAAGCAGTTCCCGAGCCAGAGGCCCAATCTCCGAAGCACGTGATGAGGATGATTGTTGGTGTGAAAATGCAATTAGCAAAAAATTGATGATGAGGATGATGTTGAGGAAGGAGCTCATAGAGGCAGTAGAGTGATTCATTATCCAAAATTTGCAGCACTTGTCTGTAGAATGTGACTCAAAACTAGTTTAAAATATTGTTTTTATTTATTTATTAACTTCTATGTGATGATGAGGTGGCAGCAAAGTTTAGACTATATGCCGTTTGTTTTCAGAACTAGAATAGAGGGAGTTGATAATGCGAGGATTGTTAGTGAGGAGATTAAGTAAAATTGTGTTTATTTTGATGATAGTTGTTAGTGTGAAAATTGTTAAATTATTTTTATATAAAATAATAAAAAAAATAAAAAAATATAAAAACATTAAACATTAATGTTTTAAAAAAAATACTCAACATGTAAAAAAATTTTAAAAAATAAAAAAAATTTCAAAATAAATAAAATAAATAAAATAATGATTTTTACTTAACAAAAAATACAAAGAATTAAACATTAATGTTCAAAAAAAATGCCCGACATGTAAAAAATAAAATAAAAAATAAATAAATAAAAGATTTCTAGTTCGCCGGACTATTTTTCTAATACCAAGTCCTACACGCATATCCTAATCCCCTCCCCAAGGGGATTCGTAGTCCGGAAGGGATTACGAATCCCCTCTTCATCTCTCAAAACAAACATGATATTAGTGGGTTCTACCTCACTATGAATCTCAATCCCCTCTCTATAACCCAAAATAAACGGGGCCATATACCTTAATAACGTTAACGTTAACGTTTTAGTTTATGGTTATAAAAATTTTATAAATTAGTTTTTGTTTATTTTTAGAAAAATATAAATTACAAATGCGTTTGATTTGAACAAAATGTTTAAAAAATTTTAAAAATATAAACTAAAAAACATATTTGTTAAGGTCTAAAATATTTATATTTATTTTTTATTATTTATGACAATGAGATCATACACATTAACAATCTCCCCTTCTCAGAACACATACTCTCTCTCTCTCTCTCTCATCTCTCTCTCTAAATCTGTGCAATTACATATATCCATCCACATACGTCGCTCTCTCTCTCTCTCTCCCTCCCATTTTTCTGTATTATTATTATCATTTGCAAACCTAAACACAACAATACAAACCCATCCAAATCCACAAATCCAATCCCAACTACTGAGAAAAACAAGTTCGGATTGATTGAAGATTGAAGGATTGATCATTGATTATGTCATATTCGTCGTCGAGTAGATCGAAGAAGAAAGATAAGGGGATTGATTCGTACAAGAAAGACGGCTACCACGTGGTTAAGGTCAGCGATTCGTTCTCCGGCGGTTGCTACATCGCCCAAAAAAATCCATGGAAGCTCTTGATGAAACATAGACAAAGAGAGAAAGAGAAAGAGAAAGAGAGAGAAGAGAGAAGAAAGAGAGACAGAGAACCAAGAGAGAGAGGGGGGAGAGAGACTGACATAAGATCGATTGAGTTGAGAAATTTGCAATAACTCTACAGATTTGCAACAGATATAATGTTTAAAAAAAAAATCCATGGAAGTAGTTGGTGAAACACAGAGAAAGAGAGGAGAGAAAAGAGAAGAAAGAGAGAGAGATCTGCAACAGATATGTTGTTTAAAAAAATAATCCATGGAAGCTGTCAATGAAACACAGAGAGAGAGAGAGAGAGAGAGAGAGAGACCGAGACAGAGACAGAGACTGAACTAATCTTCAAGCTCTTGGTGAAACATAGAGAGCGAGAGAGCGAAAACTTTTGATATTACTGTTATATTTTGGAACTTGAAAATTGCTCCTACGCAGTTTTGAACATGGATCCAACTTACTAATACTGATCCTCCGCAGTTTTTTCAACTTCTGTTTTCTGTTTAAAAATCAACGTAAACTCATTTTTTGAGTTTATAATTTTTCCTCAAATTTACAAATTAAGACAATCATTTATAAATCAAAAAAAAAAATATCAAACAAGTTTTTATGATAGTTTTTAAAATTTTTATAAATATAAACTGAAAACTGAAACAAAAAATGTTACCAAACAGCCCCTAAAAAATAATTCTAATTTAAAAGTTGGTTTTAATTTTTAAATGTAATAATGTGATAATTAATTAATATATTTAAATTAATTTTTTATATACATTTTTAATTATTAATTAATTATTTGGACTTGTATATTATTTTCGATATAAGAATTAACGGTGGTGGTGACAAAAAATGTTTAAAATGTCTATGAAAAAGGAGAATTCTATTATACATATTTCATATTATATGTATTTTTAGTTTTTTTTTAGTTATAATTATTTTTTTTTCTTTAATTATAACATTATATTGAGATTTTGGTTATAATTTTTTATTTTTGGTTATGAATTTTTTTTTTAATTATGACTCACAAAATATAAAATTATATTATTTTCTTCTATAGTTATAAACCACTAGTCTTTTCCATGAAAAAATGATTTGTAAATATAATTTTCTTTTATAAGAATGAAGTGAGAGTGACATTTTAAAATTTGTAAGTCAATTAGTGGTTTATTTTTATTTTTATTTTTTTTTGGTATCTAAAATGAATGGATAAACTTCTATCAAATAATTCTATATTAATTTTTTGGTAAATTATAAATACACTTCTTAAAATTTGTTTAAAATATGAATTGTCCCCTTGGTTTTGGAATTACATGCTGCATAATAAATTACATGCTGAATTGTCCCCTTTCACATTTCTAATTGCATAATAAATGACCAATTTTATTAATAAATTATCAAGTCAATTAATAATTCAAGTAATTTTATTGTTATATAAGGGAGTAGTTAGCAATTTTATTTTTCCTATTAATTTTGTTAAATAAAAAATTCAAATAAGGGGTATTTGTAATTTCTAAAATCACAAGAAAAAATCCATGTTTAAAATAAATTTTAAGAGGTTATTTGTATTTTACACTTAATTTTTTGTAGAAGTTTTATATTTGTGTATCATCACTCAAAGTCTAGATGTCTTTGATGCTTTGTCATTTTCTCATATTATTTCTATTTTCTATTTTTTTAGACATGCAAATACACAACTCATTACTATTATCACTACAAGAAAACACATTTTTGGCGACCACTTTTGGCTACCAAAACAAATTTAGTTGCCAAAAGTGTGGGAATTGGCTACCAAAGTTAATTTTAGTCGGCAAAAGTCATCTTCTTAGCTACTAATTTTTTTTCGTAGGGGAATGTTGATTATTGGCGACTACAAAAAATTTAGTAGCTAAAAATATTACAATTTGCGACTAAAAAAAAATTTAGTAGCTAAAAATATCACAATTGGCGACTAAAAAAAAATTAGTTGGCAAAAATACCAGAAATTGGTGACGAAAAGTAAATTTAGTCGCCGTAGGTATAGATTTGGCTACTAAAACCTTTAGTCGGCAAATGTAAAATAAAAAATTAATTTTTATCTTTGGCGACAAATAGTTTAGTCGCCAAAAGTTGATTTTCAACGACGAAAAATAAATTTGGTCGCCGTAGGTATAGATTTGGCTACTAAAGCCTTTAGTCGGCAAATGTAATATTAAAAAATTAATTTTTAGTTAAAATACTTGGAGGGAGCTATTTTAAATTTTAGAGGGATTTGAAAAATTAATTGGCGACTAAAAAGTTTTAGTCGCTAATGGTGTAATATATATAAATATATATAGCATTCGCTCATGTTCTCTGTTTATTCTCTTTCACCACACGAAACCTCACCCCACTTCACATGACCACAGACCACCGCCACCGCCTCAGATGGCAACGGCCACTGCCGCAGATCGCCGCCGCCACCTCTATCTCTGCAAATCGCCATCACCATTGTTGCATAGCACAGGTTCTCTCTCTCTCTCTCTCACTCTCTCTCTCTCTCTCTCTCTTCTTTCGATCGAGCTGTGTCTCTGTGGTACAACTTAAATTCTTAATTTCTCAAAAACAAAATATAAGAACTTGGGTCAATTGAAACCCCGATCAATTTATATGACAATGTTGTTTTCACAGTTTGCCCTAATTTATATGATAATGCTGTTTACACAGGTTGGCCTCACTAATATATATATATATATATATATTATTGAACTTTGTAAATAAATTAATTACAAGAATATATGCATGAGTAGCTAAGAGTGTGGAAAGACTAAAATGTGACACATTGGTAGTAGTGTTTAGTCTCTATCTGGTTTACTGAAATGCAGGTAAAACAGTGTTTGGTTTACTAAAATGATTATAAATAGGAATAGAATATATGAGGCTCGAGCTGTGTCTCTGTGTCTCTATCTCCCTTCCTCTATTTCTTTCAATCTTGACAGGCCAGATTTCTTCAAATTGTTTTTTGTTCACATCTACATTTTTTTTGCTCACCAATTGTTTGACATTTGGTTTGTGACATGTAGAAATGAATTGTTTAAGTATATATGGACCCCAAAGCATCTCTAGTTTGCTCACCAACTGTTTGACAATTTATTTGTGATACATAGGAATGATTTGCTGGAGCAATTTTAATTGTGTAGTTTGTGGATTTTTGTTAATTGTTTCTATTGATACTGATGTCCTCGATAGTAATCTGCTGGAGCAATTTTCTGCTGGCAAGATTGATGCAGATGGTTGAGCAATTTTTTGCTGGCAATTTTAATCTGCTTGATAGTAATCTATTGGAGCAATCTATTGATACTAATGCTCTGTTTGAAAATTGGTTTGTGATGCATAGTAATCTGCTGAATTTTTGTGATGCATAGGATTTTTTTGAAGATGAACAAGTTCTGTACTTTTAGTCAGCAGATTCGACCTTCATTTCATTACACTTTTGGCCACAAGAGATGAAGGAGATAGGTCAAAAATGAAGAGAAGGTTGGAGGAGATGAACAAGTTCACATCTTCATTTCATTATTGTGTTTGGTATGCAATTAGGTGCTAAGCTTTCCTTTGTTCTTTCTTTACACTACCATTGAGAATATGCTCATTTTTCTTTCAATTCCTAGATGATGAAGAACAAGAAACCAGCTAAGCTCCTAATGAGGCTACTAGGCACTGTTTTTTTCTTTTTCTTTTTTCTCTATACAAAAACCTATGTTAGTTAAACCTATGTTATGTAATAACTGTATTAATGTGTTTTCTATCC